TTAAGATCACATCAAAAAAATTATTGGTTCAATATTTAGTAATTCAATTAATTTTAAAATATTTTAAATACCAACCCATAAAAGTATTATAAAAAGCTTGTTATTTATATTGGTTGTAATTAGGTTCATTCCACATACGCCTGGCTGAAATTTGGTCATACTGGCTGTATTTTGGTCAAATTTATATACTTTTTGTAATCGTTGTTTTATCAAACATTTTTTATTTATAATAATTGCTGTAATTATATCCTAAATGCTGAAAGATTTATCTTTCTAGAAATGTATAATTTTCATATAGACCTCTTTGTTAATATGTCTGTAGAAACAATTTTGTAAAGATGCGGCTGGAATTTGGTCACTTTACCCTATTGACAAAAAAACGATTTTCTTTATTTCAATGATGGCAGCTTTCGTTGTTGCTTGTGATAAATGCAGACATGGAAAACATGCAGACATGGAAAAAACTTCAAAACTACATATACTTATATCAAATTGTAATGCCTTGAAAAAGTTCTAGTGATCGGAGCCTGGGATCTAGAAAAACTGTAAAACTTAACCCCCCTCCCTACCCTAAAGGTGAGGGCAATAAGTCGCCCAAATTTATACTAATGTTATTCTAAATTTACATTTATTGACAGATTTCAAATTTAATTTAATAATATTGTAGCGTTCAAAAGTTATGACCATATAAAGTTGCCACCCTCCCCAAAAAGATGGGGTTAAAAGCTCAACGTATAGTTCTATGGTATTTTTATTACAAAATCTAGTTGAATGTATTACATAATTTTTGATGTTAAACTTAGAGATAACTCTAGATGATGTTGGATTACCACTCCCCTAATAATATAACTTTATTACGAGTTGCAGGTAGAGAAGTGGGAATAAATAAAAATAAAATTAGCGTAATTTTAAACCTTGATTAAATAACCAACAATCAGCATTTTAAAATACTACTAATTACATTTGATGTTAAATCTTTTTTCTTTGTCCCTTTTTTATTTCTTTTATAAACATGGTTTAACAAGAACAAATCTTGTCTCTTCTTCTCTTTCGTTGATTTTCCAATCAGCTCTTTACTAGATTTATGGTCCTCTCTGACAAATCGTTAACCATATCTAGAGATTGAATAGTAGATTCAACTCAAGATAAAAATCGTTAAACTTCTAAAACTGCGAGGGAATCTTTAGCCACTGCAACTCATCCTCTCTATGTCCCATCTTATCAAAGATGAGCCAAGATTGCTCAGTTATTAGAGAACAAAGAGATGGAGGCTGATCTTGTGAAAAGTCTAGAGAGTGAAGAACCTCTTTATTAACCAAAACATGTTCAAGTGGATACACTATTGGTTTGATGGGAAGTTTATTGTATAATGATGTGGCAATTTTTTCTCTGTTTGGGCAACGTTTATCTGCTAATGCAAGCATAACTAAGGCAGGATCATGGTACCAGCTGTGTCTGTCAAATAATTTTATTGCTAAAGTAGCTCCAAGAAAATTTATATCTATGAACCTTTTTATCTGCCACGGAGCTTTCATATCCTAAAAATATATTTAACAATATTAGATTAAGTCATCGATTGGAAAATTAACTCATCATTTTTCACGCTTTTTTCTTATTTATAATGATTATTTTTAACCTGATATGGCGCAGCAGTTGCTGATACTGCTCTAAGAAACCATCGAGTGTAAAAGATACCGACAAACATTTCACGAATCTCTTCTTTATTTTCTTCTGATAAACTTGGAATTGCTTCCAATAATAAATACATTTTTAAGATAATACAACGCTTTTGACATAAATCTTGCATGATGTATTAAACCAGAAAAACGAAATTTGAACCTATCTTTTTGAGAAACTACCATCAAAGATAGTTTCGCTAATTGATAATCTTTTCTTGATTTACCATTCTAAAAATAAAGGATTTTTTATATTTATGATTATGATTTATTTTATTATGATTGTGTATACAGATTGTTTAAATTATTTAAAGCAAGCTACTACAAAACTGTAATTAACCTTTTTGCAGATCCTGTTATCTATTACATCTCTGTAGAATTTTTCAGCTTCAAGATGTTGTTTATTTATCCAAGTTCCATTTGGAGTTTCAATTCTCTTTAATGAAACAATGTCTTTTTCAAGATCATTCCAGACTGATTTCAGGTGTTTAAAGAGCTGGTTTTCTGGACCAGACGTTTTACTACTGGGATATATCTTGTTAAAGTGGGTAATATGTCTTTCCAATATATGATGTCTACAGGCAAGGAAAAGTAGTGGCCTTCCCAGCTTATCGGCCATTCTTGTTATAACTCCTTGTTGCTTTTCAGTGTTAGAAGCTGTAGTATCAAAGCATATACACTGTATATGATGACTAAGGCCAAAAGAATCTAATAGATTATAAATTGCTTTAAACTGATTTTCCCCAGAACCTGACTCAATATGAGGAATACCTAGGAGCTTAGTTTTCCCATTCACTTTCAATAGTACTGCTAATCTTTCTCTTGTAACTGAAACTTTATGTGTATATTCTTTAATTATTTTCCCATAAAAGTGAACAGAAATCAGCTTATATTTGAAGTCAGTCAAGTCTTTCATATACTGTCTAATTTTTCGAGCTTCCGAATTTATTACTTTATCTACTGCTCGAAGAGATGATGATTTAAACACAACAAATTTATTTATTTCTCCTCCTGAAATAGCTATAACACTGCTTATGATAGCAGTGTGCTGATTGGTAGAAAGACTTTCTCCTATAGCAGTTAGTGCTGTACGCTTTAAAATATCTTTAGGCAGTAATAAACTTTGCTCTACTTTATGAGAATCGTCATTTGACTCTGGTAACAGACTCGAAGCAATCAGAGCTTAAAGAAAAATCATTTATTTAAAGAAAAATCGTTTATTTCAATAACAAAAATATTTCAATACTACAGCCTCGACTTCTTTCCTAAAAATAAGACTTTTTAAATAACTGTAAAGCTAATTAAGATTAAGATTTCATAAATACTACTAATCATAAAACGCATTGTATGCCACGAGTTCTGTATCCACCAAGTTCCCATGAAACCTTCAGCTTAGATATAACGCAGCAGTTTTCTCCCAAATCTGGACAATTCGGTGTAAATGTAGAACCTTTGTTTGGACAACAAACTAAGTTGAGAAGTTGAAACTAAGTGAGAGAAGTTGAACTCACGTATATAAAGATAATACTATATAACTTCTTTTACAGTTGCAAATTGAATAGATGATAGTCTTTTTAGTTTTTTTAACTAAGAATATTTCTTGCCCTCTATTTTTCATTTTTTTAAGAATTTTTTGCATAATTTATTTTACTTTTTTATTTTATGTAAAGAAATTATAATAAAATTGATTTTTATTTTAAAATAAATACTTTACCAACGTTAATAAATTTTGTTTAATTTTATTAAAATAGCAGATGTTGAACATTGAGTATGATTATTACATTTGAACAATGAGATCATACTACTGTCATTAAAATAGTTGCGTGTAAAGAAATAATTAAAAAATTCATTAGATTTGAAAAAAAAATTGTCCTTAGGTATTTTTTAAGTTTTCAAAAAATAAATTGAGTTAGAGTGTCTTTTTATTTTTTTGTATAGGTCCTTGCAAGAATATGTAAAAAAAAAAAAAAAATCAAAGTTAATAATGTTTAAGGGTGGTACACGCGGGTTGAAAAACGTCAAAAAAAAGTAAAAAAAAAAGTACTTTTGGGCTGTGTGCCACCCTTAATCATCAAAAGAAAAAAATTTAAAAAAATCCTATATATAAAACAAAGGTCTGTGCACCTTATAAATTTTCACTCTTGTTGTAAAAATTTTTTGACCTATGTATATATATATATATATATATATATATATATATATATATATATATATATATATATATATATATATATATATATATATATATATATACACACTTACTAAAGCGTATTTTGATAAGCATTTGCTCACTTTTTCTGCTTACCTTAAGCTATACCGTTTTTTTCGAAAAAGAAGAAGAAAAAACGAAGAATGATGAATAAAACGGTTGCTTCCCCATCCCAAACCCTCAGTCGATGTAGCAGCACTCATCGACTGACAAATAGCCTGATTCTGAAAAATCTTCACTTGTCAACAAAAACCAACTTTGCAAAAAAAAATTTTGTAGCACTTACAAATCACTATCATATGATTTTACTATTGTTATACAAATCAATCTTTTTTTAAACCAAATATAGTTTAACCACATTTTTTCTTGTTTTTCCCCGTTTTTTATCAAATATTAAGAGAGTTAAATTAAAATATCAAGAGAGAATTGAAATTTATATTTCAATTATTTTTTTAATAACTAAATGTGCTACCAAATTTTGCACTATTTGGCATTTTGAAATTAGTTAATAAAATTTGACCCAGTTTTTACCTTATTGCATACTATATTGATTTTTTGTTTGTGCTATTATTTTTCCAATGATTTTTTGTTTGTGCTTTCCTCTTTTGTTTTTCCTTTTTCAATAAATAGTGACCAAAGTTTTTGCTAAATTTTTAGTAAAAGTAAAACTGATCAAAAGTTTTTGACAGGTTTTCCATATAATTTCAAACTATACAAATTTTTTGATTTTCTGGCTTTTTTCCCTTAATTAATTTTAATATTGTTTTTGTTTAACAAAAAATAAAATATTAATAAAAAAAAGCCTGTTTTTTATATTTTGTTGTAATCCAACAGTCAAGTAAAGAAAAACAACATAAAAACAATTTTTAACTTGAATAGTTATCTACAAGTAGGTATGTAAATATTAAAAAAAAAAAGGTTATTATTCCTTTTATCAAGTCATCAATGACATCATTTGTTTGTTTGTAAAAAATACTAAAGTTAAAACTACATTAGGTTCAGTGTTATTATTTAGAATTTTTTCTTGTATCTTTAGGAAATGGAAGAAAATAAATCTTGATTATAAGCATTTTATTGGTGTCTTTTTCGTTGATTTTTTTTCCTTGTATCTTTAGGGAATGGAAGGTTAATGAATCCTGATTATAAAAAATTCATTGGTGTTTTAGAAAAGGCAAAGTTCAATAAGAATGACAGGGTATTATTGTTTTATTAATCATTTAATAAATCTTAAAAAATGTAGAGTTACCAAACCACTTTACTAAATTTTTTATATTTATTTATCGAAAATTTTGTTGAAAATGTGTTTAATAATAAAGAAATACTAATGCCTTTTAGTAAACAGTTGATACTTTTTTAAAATATATTTTTAACATTTAATATTAGGATTCTTTACAGATGTATGACTTTGATTTTGCTAGTTGGCCTATAGATTTTTCTTATAATGAATCATCTATTAAACCTGCTAATATTTTGGTAGAAGCTGAAAAGAAAAAAGAAAATGGATTTCTTTCAAAATTGTTAAATATTCCAATGAATTTTTTGGAGTGAGTTTATTTAATTTTTAAATACAGTTCAAACTAGTCAATTATTTATTATATTTATATATAATAATTATATAAAATAATTAAAATTATTTGTGAGATTTTTTGCTCAAAATAAAAATTTTGTTGTAAAGTCAATTAAAAATACTTATTATCAAGACATTAAAAAAGCAAATTTCACACAATGAAAATTAACAATACACCAATAGTATTTCATATTGTAAAGTTGTATTTATAAAAATTTGCGTACAATTTATTTTCCTTGAAATTTTTCTTGTTAGTTTTTGTTTAGTGATATATTATTAGTATATATTTGTTTATTTTATGTTTTTATAAAAAGTTTATTCTTTATATTATTGCAAGTATTGTTTGGGTGCACTGTCTGTCTTTGAAAAACCTTCTTTGTCCACCATTTGTAATATTGAGTCTCTTTGGAGCTGGTTTTGTTAAATCATCTCTTTGGAGCTGGTTTTGTTAAACTTACTTTTTTTTGCTAGTATTTCATTGGCTGAGATAATCTGTTTTTGTAGATTATCTCAAATCAGGGTTGTGTGGACAAGCAGGGTTTTTGTCTTTTACCTTATATATATTATTCTACCATACATGTTTTATTCTTTCTCTTATCAAAATTTAACAAAAAGTTTATTTTTATTGATCTTGATTTTCATTAATATTTCTAAAAAGGTTATAATGAAGTATATTGTTTACTTTATGTATAATTATTTTATAAATTTCCTTATGTATGCTTAGGTTTTATATTCTTATATTTAATAATTTTTACAGATATATTTTGGCCCATGGTTTAGCTAGACCGATGGGATATCCTGGATCAGTAAAGTTATTGCAAACAGCTATGGGTAATATACATTTTTGTTTAGCTATAATGTTCAATATACTAGTATATTGTAATTAATAAAATGGTCTACTAACATAAAAAATTTTATAAACATCAAAATAAGACTATCGTTAAAAAAATACCTTTAAAAAACTAAATTGAAAACTAATAGTGTCTAATATTTAATGATGAAAAAAGTATTAAGTGATTATTGGCTATTTAAAACTATAAAGTTTAATTGTAAACAAGAATTTAGCCAAGTAATTTAAAAAAGTTTTGAGTTTATGCTCATGTTTATGCTCATTTTTGAGTTTATGCTCATGTTTATGCTCATTTTCGGCTCCATTTAAGTTATTCAGGTTTTTTTTTTATTTGTGTGATGATTTTTCCTTAAATTACCATTAAATTCACACTAAATTAACCTTGTTAGTAGCTCAATACGCTTTTTTTTAGTATAAAACTTAATATGGAACTTATCATACACATTTTTCTTGAATACTCCATATGCAACTCATCTTTTAAGTATTTTATGTAAAAATACGCAATTTTTCCTAGCTTAAAATAAAATTTTATTTTTATTATAATGTAACTTTTATTTTGAAATTTCTTCAAAAAGAAAAATAAGAAATTAATTATAGTTATTAAAAATGTATGTTCAATTCATAAACAAAAACACAGCTGTTAAATCATGTTTTCATAGCGCTTGGAGCAAATAGTATTGCGTATTTTAAATAATGATTTTATGCGGTTGCTTTGAATAAAGTTTTGAATAAAACTTTTTTAAATAACAAATTTAGGTTTTATAAGAAATTTTTGTTATGTTCTTTGTCTTTTAACAATATAAAAATCATTCCTTAAATTCACATTAGTATAATTTTATATTTATATAATGCAGGGATCAAAATAAGTGTTAGACACCGGTGCCCCTCAGACTATTTTTTAAGAGAAAGTTTAAGGAGTTATTTAAAAATTTAAATGTTTTAAATTAGGAACTAATTAGTTGATATTAAAAATAATAATAAAAAAGATACATTTTAAAATAATTCATTAGAGTTTTTTTGTTTTGTTTTGAAATAACTATAAAAGGTTTAAGTTAGTTATATATATTAATTATTATTATTATATATTTATATTATATTAGTTATATATTAATTATTATATATTATTATTTTTAAGTTAGTCATATAATATATATTTAAGTTATATATTTTTAATCTCTTTAATTTTGTATACATATCTGCAAAAGAGTTATGAGTATTTATAATAAAATATTAAATAAGGTTTAACGATTTCTTTTATTTGAAGTCTTAGATCACTGCTAATTTCTTTTAGACTGTTGTAGTTAATGGTTGTCTTTTAATAATTATATCATTTATTATCGTGTTTTATTTATGATTTATAAAATGAATTAAAATATTAAAGTTTGATGGCAATTCACAATCACTTAGTTCGAGCCCTTTTTTTCCTATACTTTTCTAACTTGTTTTTTTTACGTATTTAACATTTTTATTTATGATTACAAGAAGGTTAATTTCTAATTTATTGTTTAAACTTTTTACTTTTGTCTATGTATCATAAATTTCATTCCACACTCTCCTAAATAAAAGCTCAGTACAAAGTCTATACTTTTGTTTCATTCCACACTCACTTAAATATAAGACATTCATTACAAAGTTAATACTGTTGTTTTAGCACCTGCTATACATCAAGGTCGAACAATCCTGATTGAAAAAGTAAGTGTTTTTTTTTATTAATATTATTTTAAACTTACTGCATTTTTTGTAGTAAAACTGCTAAAGAGGTATAGCACTAAAACATTAAAAAAATAATGATAATTAGTTAATAGAGTTTTTTACTTGTCTTGAAAATTTATTTTGTTGCATATTTTTTATTTATTTTTACTGTGAGATTTTATTTATGATTTATTTTTTGCCTCATTTGTGATCTGCCTAACTTTTTTCATATTATGCAGTCTTAAGGGATTATCTTTTTGCGAGTGTTTTTAGAATTCCTGTTTTTTTTTTTTTTACTTTAAATTTTTCCGGATATCCAAAACATTTTCTATAAATGCAAGTTTAGGCATATATTTTTGTAATACATTTGTTTTTTTAAGCTTTTTCACTCATCACTCATCACTTTTAGAAAAATTATGAAAATTTTGAAAAAAAATAGAAACAACTCAGATAAAAGCAAAATTAAATGAAAAGTAAGAGAAAACTTATTCTGTATTTTTTCTGGAATTTTTATTCGAACAATTTTGGTTTTTAAAATGTGACTCAGATGATCTATGAGTTTTTTAGTTTATTTGTAAATTGTAATAAAATAGTGCATTATAAAAAATTTACAAAACATTTATGTTTTGGTAGAATAGATTTGTATTAATATAACACTAGTATGCTCTTAAAATAAAATGTTTGAAATGAAAACACATAGTTATTGTTAATAATAGCCTGTGGATGTTATATGGGTTGAAAATGACCCTTGCAAATTTAATGCATTGCTAATGACTCTTGTTTAATCCATAGATAATCATCATTTTATATTTAATGCATTGATAATGCCACTTGCATGTTAATGCATTGACTGTTACTTTAGAATTTAATAATAATGTTCTTTGTAATCTTAAATGCATCAAAAATGATCATTATAATGCTAAATGTGTTTAAAACAATCTTTTTAATGTTAAGTATATCAAGATAATCTTTTAGTGAATGATATTCGATTAAAATTATAAGCTAATGATGGATATGAAATTAATAGAATGATTTTTAAGTTTGTTTTTTTTTAAGAATGGTATTCGATCAAAATTGTTAGCTAAAGATGGTAATGAAATTGATACAATGTTTCTTGACAAACGAAAAAATAATGACAATGGCAACACTTTGGTAAATACATTCTTATGCTTGTGTTTTTCAATATATTTTATTGTTTTTTTTTTTTTTTTTTGTCTGGAAGTTATTACAATATTATTTTAGGTTATCTGTTGTGAAGGTAATGCAGCTTTCTATGAAGTGGGATGTATGGGAACTCCACTAAAAGGTATTTAATTGTTTTTTATAAAAATTTGTTTAGGTAACTGTAAGTTTAATTACTTCTCATGTCCAATTAGGTTTGGTTGTTGTTGTTTTTTTACACAATTGTTGGTTTTTGAAAAAAAACCTAAAAGGAATTTAGAACAAAGTAGTTTTATTGTAATAGCCTTACATATTGTCATTAAAGGTTGGTGATATGATATCATACATGATATCCATTAGATATCTGTGATAGGATAGCATTAGTATCCATTAGTGATAATTTAGGATTATAAGGATAGCACAGTATCCATTAGTGATCTGTGATATTATAGCATTACATAATATCCATTAGTGGTTTGTGATATGATATCATACATGATATCATACATACGATCATATTGATATAAATTGTTATATCAATATAAACTTAAACATACTTTATAAATTTATATTGATATAATAATTTCTCGTATGGTGTTGTTCGCCTAGGTAAATGCAATACTTATATGGGGTACCTCAAGGTTCTATCCTTTGTTTCTGTTTTGTTTATCTACATTAATGATCTTTCTGACAATTTTTTATCTAAAGTAGCTCTTTTTGCTAATGACTCAACTTTATTCTCCTGTCTTGACAAAAGTCTTCTCTTTTTGATTGCTTAGAACAGGCAGCCGATCTAGAATCTGATCTTTCTTCTATAACAGATTGGGGCTTGCAGTGGCTTGTGAATTTTAACTCCAACAAAACTCAGTCAATTACTGCAAATGACTATCACATTACTGTCAAAAATTCCTATATTAATTAATAGCAACTGAATCCTTTTCTTTATGTCTTCTTGGATAATCATTGACTGCTGAACTTTCATGGAAACCATATATACAATTGATTGTTAAATTAGCATCTGCTAAAGTTGCTTCTCTTTATTGTGCTGGCTTTTTTCTTACTTCTGATTTAGTTCTCTACCTCTATAAATCTCTTATTTGTCCTTATATGGAATACTATTGTCATATTTGGGCTGGTTCTTCTATTGATTTTAGACAAGGTCCAAATAAGCATTGTAAACTTAGTTGGACCCGCTTTGTCTACTACGCTTGAGCTTCTTTCCCATCATCATAAAGTTGCATCTCTTTCTCTTTTCTACAATTATTATCATATTTGCTGCTTAAAGGTATCATCTCTAGTTCAGCTAAACCTTATTCCTCCTTGACTTGTAATTTAGCCAAGTCTTATTCTTTTACTGTATCTGTCCCTTTATGCTTTAAAAACTTGGTCTAGTTCCTCCCTCCGCACTTAAACTCACTTCCCCAACACTCTCCCATCTTCATGTTTTCCTGACTCATACAATCTTCAACTTTTCAAGACTTCTGTCAACCGTTTTCTTGCTCTATAATTATTCTTTTTTTTCTTCTAGTAACTCCCAACTAAATAGTGGTTGCTTGCAGCCTTGTTGGGAGTGAATCTGAATTTAGAAAGAAATTTTTTTTTTGAGTTTTTTTCACTTTAAAGTCTCTTTTTCTACTCATCAAATACTCTTTTTTACCAACCAAAATTTAATTACAAGCGGCTTTTTTTTTTGGAAAACTCTCCTATCTTCATATATTCCTGATTCTTACAATTTACAGCATACAACAAAGCTCTTTTTGCCTTTCTTTATATTTCCTACTTTTAGATAAAATGTTTGTCTTCAGCCTTGTTGCTTTGATTGAAAAAAAAGTTTGGTTGAAAAAAAAGTCTTAGTTAAACTTTCAAGGTACATTAATTTCTTTTTTACTTATTTAGGAGGTTATTCGGTATTAGGATGGAATCATCCAGGTTTTATGGGAAGTTCAGTAAGGTTTTATTTTTTTAAATAATCAATCAATTTTTTTTTTAACTTTAAATCATTATTAAAATATTATACAATACAATGTTTTATTTTTATTATTAAAACTTATAACTTTAGTTAATGTAAAACATAGTTCCAATATTTTAATCTTAAATTAAAATTTTGCACAATTATTAAATTAAAATTTTGCTCACAATGAAAATATTTAAATTTTTTTTTTGAAAATTTTAATTTAATAAAAACTATTTGTAAATGTAGTTATATCCTTTGGAAAAGTATCAATAAATAGAGCTATGGTTGTCATAAAGATCATTTATGTAGTTAAGAAACACTACAGGACAAAATAATACTGCGGTTAGAAAGAAATGATTTAATGATTTCAAAACTTTTCCATATGAAGCAACCTTATGGAGAAGACCAGCATGCCAAATCTTATCAAAAGCATTCAAAATGTTAAGCATTTTTACATTATTGAAATTCCTGGAAAAATAAGAAAGAAATAATTTTTTTGTTATTTTCAAATCTTTAAGGGATTCCAGATTTGAATATTACAAAATGATGCATCCCTGATTATTAAGGAGTAAGTTATTAGATTTAAAATGTGATATTAGAAACTTTTTGATTAAAAACTCAAAGATCTTGGTATTAATAGAGAGAAAATTGATTGGACAATAGTTAGAGGGGTCACAGTGTTCCTCAGACTTTTTTAAAATTGGAACCACAGATGTCATTTTCCAGCATGCAGAAAAACAAGATTTAGTCAAGCAGTTATTCCAAATAGTCCAGAGATATTCGAAGAGAGTTCTGGATATCACTTTTGTAAGACTTTGATAGAAAAGTTTAAATGAAGAATAACTTTAGCAATGAAAGAGCACAACGGCCATTAGATTTACAAATCAAATTAAAGGAAAAGTTCATTGCAAAAAAATTCTGGCTTATCCTTGGGAAAGGTAAGAAGATCATATTCATGAATTAAAGATGGATGTTTGACTTTGAAATGACAATGTTGAAGATTTTCTAAAAGTCTCTAGAGCTCAACTTCTGAGATATAACACAAGTTTTATTTATTTAACTGGGATTAATGGAGCTTATCGTCGGACAGCACCATTTTTACATAGATCTCTTGCAATAATAAAAGGGCATATGTTGTCAAGAGAACTGTTCCTGTGAAAAAGAGATAAAGAAATAATTGCAATAAGATATATGAGCTGCTTAAGAAAGTGAAAACCTTGGTGTAGAATGAGGCTTGATTTGAAACCTAAAAGAAGGAATAAAAGTTTCCTTACCTGTCTTAATCTAGGAGGTTTTGTAAGTGGTGTATTAAACAGCAGAGAGATAAAAGACAACTGCACAATCCTCAGGAAGAAAATCACGAAAAAATCAGGAAAAAAATCCCAAGATAAGAGGTTTATAGAGATCATTGCATGGTCAGAATCATAAAAGGAGAACAGGGAGAAACTAAACACAAGCTAGGGTCACAAATAAAACACAAATCAAGGAGTGAAGTTAAGTGATTAGGGTTATTTAGAAAGCTAGTCACAAAGTTAACTATCTTAGTAATAGGTTGAGAAATACAGAAGTTATAAGCTTTAGTGCCAACAGGATTAGTAGTACTAAAGCCAAGCCATTCAGTGTGATGAGCATTATTGTCATCAATAACAACAATATTGGCAAAGGTTACAGAATACTGAAAATTAATGTGAGCATATGCAATATTGTTGTAGTCACTAGTTGGTAAATGAGCTAACACTACACCAGAGATTCAAACAGAACACACAAAGGTACATATAGTAACTTTAGGGTGAGCAAACACTGAGCCAGTGGTTCAGACAAAACACAAGTATACATATAGTAACTTTGAGGTTAATAAACACCACGCCATACATTCAGACAGAACACAAACATTCATATACAGATGAATGAACATTGTGCCAGAAATTCTGACAAAACACAAAATACAAGCATACATTTAGGAATTTATGTGGTGAATGAACACTGTGCCATACATTTATATAGAGCACAAACATGCATTAAGTATCTTCTTGGTGAATGAACATGGCGCCAGATGTTCACACAGTACACAAACATACAAATAGCAAAATACAGGTAAGTGAGCACTTCACCTAAGGTTTATGCAAAGCACAAGAATATATAAGTAAATTGCAGGTGAGCAAGTAAAGTTCATATGCTGTTAAAAATATGTAGTTATGTAATGGCTATACACATTTTTAATTGAGTTTTTTTTATTGTAACTGTTGCCTAATATCATTGGAATATTTTAAGTTAACAGATCAAATTTGGGATGTCTAAAGAGTTTTTTTTCAAACATATAATCAAGTAGATAATATTTTAAATATTTATCAACAAAGAAATGCTGTGTAACAGTTAAAAACTTTTTAGAAGGGAACACTAGTTGTAAAGTTCTTGATGATTTGAAGATGAGCTTGCATAAACTTGTTGACAACATATTTTAGTTTTGTGAGCAGAAACCTCTAATGAAATAGCATTTCATTTAAATTTTTAAAAGTAACTCAAATGAAATTTAAAATAATCCTGCTTTAGGCACTTATTCAATGTGTTTTCTCCAATTTGTAAAATTTTTAGTTGAATAGCCTGAATACTTATTAAGCAACAGTTGTTTTACATAACTCACTTATTTTTTATTTTTATGCTGATTCAGCAATTTAAAGTTGCTTTTTTTATTATTATTTTTTTGAATCTTTTGGAAACTTTACTTAAAGCCTAAAAACAAACTAAGTTATGTACACATTGATTCCAACCACCTAACATCAATAATCTTTCACAAAATATTAAGTTTATTGGCTATATCATCAAATGTTTTATTTTTGATAAATCTAAGACAATCAGTTCAATAATAACTAAATTTAGATAACATTTTTTAACTTTAAATTTTCCTAAAAATTACAATTCTTAAATGAATTATTTTGTAAAATAATATTATTTTCTCTCTCATCATTCGATACAAGTTTTTCATTGTCATAAAGTTGCAACTCTTTCTCTTTTCTACAGATACTCATGATCGCTGGTCAAAGGAGATATCATTTCCAGTTCCATTAACTAAAACTCATTCTCCTTTGACTTTTCATTCAACAAAGTTGCAGTTTTTTACTGTATCTGTTTTTACTGTATCTCTGTATGCTCTGATTATTTTTGTTCATCTAGTTTTTTTCACTCATTTTAACCCTTTAGAACTATCTCCTATCTTGATTTTTTCCTGGCTCATACAACCTACAACTTTTTAAGTCTTCTGTCAACTCTTTTATGAAACTCAGGGCTATCTTACAAATTTAATTGTACTTTATTATTATACTAATATAATATATATATATATATATATATATATATATATATATATATATATATATATATATATATATATATATATATATATATATATATATATATATATATATATATATATATATATAATACTAGCAGTAAGCAACCCGTAATAAATAAAACTAAAAAAACAAACCGCGTATAGAAAATTTACAGTTTAAATAGGCAAATATTTAATAAAGTTGTTGCGTGTAATGTAAGTTAAAAATGGAATTGCCCATAAATGTGTGGGTATATATATATATATATATATATATATATATATATATATATATATATATATATATATATATATATATATATATATGCCATGCACCATATACACTTTCAGCCCTTTTTAAACTATTATATCACCCTCTATACTGTTGTGCTAGTTTTCCTTTTTAATGCCACCCTTGATAATGTCATGCCACCCTCTATGCTTTCATGCCACTATTTATTTACCTTTATACTCTCATGTATTCATACTCACTTTTATTATAACTTTATACTCTCATGTCACTCTCTATATTTTTATATCACCTTTTTTTCTCTCAAGTCACTTTATATATTTTCATGTTTTTATAATTTAAGATTCAAATTCAAACTAAAGTGTTACTTTCTCTAAGAAAACCTCTTAGAAAATATCTAAAAAAGAAATTTTAATTTACATAAATCTTATATAGTGTGTAAATTTTGTGTGTGCATGTGTAAGTGAGTTTATAAATTAACTACAAAATATTTTAAGGGCACTCCAAGTCCATCTTCAGAAGGAAATGCAATTGATGTTGTTGTTCGATATGCTGTTTCAAAGTTAGGTTTTAAATGTGAAGATATTGTTTTGTTTGCATGGTCTATAGGAGGTTATGCAGCCTCTTATGCAGCCATGGTATATCCAAATATCAAAGGTGTGGTAAGTGTTGTTTTTTACACTCTATAAACTATTTAGTATTATATTAAATGTTTTTGTTACAAATCTGATCAAATCTACTTAAGATACTTGATGCAACATTTGATGACATCACCTCTTTAGCCATAGCAAGAATGCCAGCATTTGCATGTAAGTTTAAACATGCATTAATTTTATTCAAGTTTAAATATTGTTTGATGTTTGAATTAATTAACTTTTATTTAAAAATACTTTCATACCATTTAATGTACATCAGATTGAAAATTATTCTGTTGTTCTTAATAACAACTCAATACTTCCAATTAATCACATTTGCACAAATTATCTTTTGATAATAATATTAATATAAAAATAGATTTAACGTAATGAAAATGACTAAAGTGTATATAGAAATAACGACAATTTTATTTGTACATCAGACAAAATATAAGCAATAAAAATATGACTAAAACATTAAAAGTACACTGCTTAAAAACTATGTGCATTTTGTAATTAATAAATTCATAATCTTCGAAAAAAAAAAGATTTATTTTTTTTATTTGTAAAATATGCTATCTGCAGGTGTTCTTGTTTTATAAATAATGATGAACTTTAATTCAATAGCAAGGGGAAAAATTCAAAAAAATATTAACTTTCATAAAATGTTAATAGAAATAAAAGCCTAAAATAATTTTATTTTTTGTATTTTTAAAAACAGAGAAGAGTATAAAAACAGAGAAGAAAAAATAAAAACGCATTTCAATAAAGTAATAATAATAAATGTTTATAATTATGATTTGGTAATAGTAATTATTAATGAATAATAATAGTTATAATGATATATATATTTATCATAATCATAGTTATTTTTGTTAATAAAAAAAGTATTTATAATAATGAATTATTTAATATTTGTAATAAATACTTAAAAATACTCAAGTCACTACAAACAAAAGGGCAAAAATAAATTTATTTAAAGCTGCTTACTTATAGATTTACCAAATTTTCTTTTAGGGCAACAGAATTATTTCATAAAAAAATTCCATCGCTCTAAAATAAATTAAAAAAAAAAAAACTTACAAGGTTGTTTACACACAAAACTAGTTTAAAAGATGTTTTAAAAAATTAGCAATTCTTTTGAATATCTTTTGGCTTTAGTTTTTCATTAAATATTTTTTTATGATAAGTTTTTATATTTTTTATTTTTAAGAATATCTTTTTAGAAACCACTCTGCAATAAAAACAAAAATAATGCATAAGATCTTTTTAATTGCAAATAAATTGTTTATTGGTCTAAGTATTTGGTATTTATTATTTAATTTTTGTTATTTGGTCCAAACTTATTTTCCAATAGTTTTTAGAGTTTCCACATAAAGTAGTGTAGGAGAGGGCAACTTCACCATCAGGGTTATAATTCCAATTTTGACATTACAATAAAAAAAAGAGGTTATTTTTATCACTGTGCCAAAATAATGTAATATTTATTATTTTTTAAATTACATTCAATTACGATTGATAATTGTTAAATTGATAATGGTTGTTGTAACTTTTTAAAATGATTTTCTGTTTAATGTGATAAAAGCCACTCTTGTTCTAAGTAACATTTGTTTTGTCAAATTGGTTAAAACTTTATTTGAGTATAATTTTAAAGGCAATTAAATTAAAAGACACAATTTATAATACAATATTATAAAGTATTTTTTCATTATAAAATATTTAATTGTAATTTTAGTTGTATAATCTTTATAATTTATTAAATTTATTATAATATTCAGTATTATAAAGTAATTTTTCATTTCTAAAATGTGTCCTTTAAATTTTATAGTTTAAAAATGTAGGTTGTTCCAAATTTAATGTATTTCTATTAATCACATTTATAAACAATATATATCCATCATCCTAGATTGTTTATAAGCCACCATATTAATTACCATGTATAAAATACATAATAAAATGCAACAGGTAAATTTTCTTTAAAATTTTCATATTTTCTTGAATCAAACTGTGATCATGATCAACATCTTCTGAAAACAAAAAGATTTTTTTGTTTAAGATATGAAATATTTAAGAAATTTTCTTGAAAATTTTTAAAAAGTGAACACTGACTTTTCCTCCATAACTTCGAACTTCATCCTCCAGTGATTACTTTAAACTTCATCATGGACAACAAATTGTTAATTTTCATCAAAATCTCCTAAAATTAATCATTCAGTTTGATTTATCTACTTTTTGTTTTTGTCAAAAATGAATGTAATGACAATCATTGCAACAGTAGTGTCATGTAATGCACCACTTTAAATGCAACCTGGAATTAATTAGATTAAGTAGTAATAACCTTTTTTAAACATGTTGGTTTTTCTTAATACTAATAAAAGCTTTTTTTCCTGGCATCATTCTTGAATACCCATTTTGATAAAGTTAATTACTAACTTGAGTGTTTCTAATGAAATAGGGTTTACAATTTTTTGTCCTATAAACGATAAAATCTCTTGCTCATTTTTAACATGTCTTGAAATTTTAACAAGATACTCAGAGATTTAGGAGTAGTTTGATATTTATTAATATCCGTGATTCTGTTGCAATAGTTTACATTAGTACTTCATGATGATAAGAGTCCGTTACAGAAATTTTGACATCAAAATATCTAGATTTTTTCTTTATATTATTGTTAGAAATATTGCTTGTTTCTGCTGTTAAAAAAACATTATTAATATCAAATGCTGATGAAATTAATTTTGCAACTCTTTTCAATTTGACTAGTGAAATTCCAAGCAATTCTATAGAGGTATGAAACCTTATCTTTTTCTCACTTTTTGATTCCCATTCTTTCTTCGAACTAAAATCTTCATCAGTTTCAACTACTTTTTTGTAATATTTGCTGCAGAACTTCCAACCTGGCGCTACATATGTATCATTTTTTTGTAGAACTTTTACTTAGTCTCAAGAAATCTTCTATCGGCCTCTTCTATCGGATATAAACAAACTTCTATTTACCTCAAAACACAAGTTTATGTATTTTTTAAAATCAACTGAAATTTAATCATGAATCTCAATAAAATTTATTTCTTTTAATTAATATATCAATTATACTATAATAAATGCTAGATTATTTTTTATAGCACTTTTTTTACTTTTGTGTTTCAAAAGGGTTGCAACACTTTATAATTTCTTAAATATTTTCCATATAATTGTTTATTACGAAGGGGTTGAAACACTTGGTAACTCTCAAAATATTTTCCTAAGAATTGCTCATTATAACAGCATATAATTATAGTTACACTAAATTCTTCTTTTTAGTTAGCTTTTCATTTTGTTTTAGTCACATTATTTCTTCCTGTTGTTCACAAAAAAGATCATTGAGTTAAAGAAAATCTTGTTTTCTAGAAAATTCTGTTATAAGTTTTTCCAATATCACATTTCTCCATATTCAAAATATTAGTCATTTATAATATCACTAGCTGAAAGAATAACTGAAAAATAGAATTCTTGCATATGTTATAATTTTTAAGGACAATCATAACTCAAACTTTTAAAATGCCATAGCATTTATTCCAAAAGAAATCTAAATTTAACATAAAGAAATAAATAGTGAAAATGAATTCAAATGCAACAAAACTATTTGTAAAATATTGCATCAATATTATAAAAAAAAGTATAACATATTGCAGAGACAATGCATAAATCTAATTTTTTTTACTTAGATTGTTAAAGAAATTCGTAGAACTTCATCTATAAAGTTACAATAAGACAGGAAATAATGAGATAATTATATATGTTTAATTATGAACGTTTTAAGTACTTATTGAAATATTTTAAATGTTTATTAAAAAAGTTATTTAAATTTTATTATATACATTTGAAAGAAAAAATTTAAAAATGGAAAAACATGAATATCGATCATAAATTAAAACCTGTGCTATACTTGGAGTTTTAGCACAAACCATAACCAATGAATTGATTTTAGTTCATGGTCACCCAGCTGCAAAATATAGTACAGTTGCCAAGTGGAATCTTTAAGATGATCCTCGGTCAGGGTACCCTCAAACCACGTATACAGCTGAGAATATTGAATGTGTACAAGCCTTTATTGAAGAAAATCTGCATGCAACACATGATATAGTTGAAGTTCTGACATCGATTAAACATTTCACAATCAACAAAATCATTCACAGTGCATTTAAAAAAAGAAAACTAAAATCACTTTGGATACCCCACGAGTTAACCAATCAAAATCGAAAGAATAGAGTTGAGGCATGTAAGGATTGGAGGCTATATGATATTGTTACAGGGGATGAGTTGTGGTTTTATTTGAGACAAGTTGGAAACAAGTCAGCTAACGCTAGTCAGTGAAGGTGAAAGTCCAAGAACTATAGTAAGATGTAATAGGTTTCAGCCAAAAAGCATGTTCTACATCTTCTTCAAAACATCAGGTGTTGTTCATTTAGATTATGTTAAAAAGGGAGACATAATTACTAGTGAATATTATATAAAAAATTTTTTGAAACCTCTTACATGCAAATAAATAAGCTAAGACCCAAAACAGATACTCACAATTTTAAATTTCTCCATGATAACATTTGACCCCAAGTAACTCAAACCGTCAAAAACCAAGCTGTAATTACATCAGTTCACCACCCACCAAACTCATCAGACTTAGCTCCATCCGATTATTGGCTATTCGACTTAATAAAAAAAAAATCTTGATGATGATACTAACGTCTTAAGCCAAAAAACCTGCATAACAAAGCTACTTGAAAGTATACCCAAAGAAGAATATAAAAAAACGTTTCACAAATAGCTTGAAATGATGCAACTTTGTATAGGTAATGATGGACATTATTTTGAACATATAATAAAATAAAGTTAAAAAAATTCTTTTATTATTTTGTTTATAGGGGCGTTCTACGAATTTTCCTAACAACCTAAGTAGTACACCTAAGATAAAGTAATAAAATACAATAAATATTTTTGCCAGAATGTCAATTTATCAGGGTTGCCATTTTGAATGACAGCTTCTATTTAGCTTCAATATTCAATAATTTACAAGTTAATAATTTTGAATAAAATTAAATAAAGCCAAATTCTAATAAGAGATGCGCAGTAATGAAATGTGGGTAATTTCAAATTACCCACAGAGATGTGGGTAATTTCATATTACCCGGCAAACATACATAAATTACAGCGTACCCATCATCTTCCAATATTCTCAAGCATTTGAAAAATTTACCTAGCTTCTTTAGGTACAGCCAGGCACCTCAAAAAATTTGCTAGCAATTCCAAAAAATACCAGGTATCTAGAATAACAAAAAAATTTGCCAGGTACCCAACACACGGTTAGAGTCAGTTATTTCTTAAAATACCCTTAAAAATGCTGAATCAGTATTATTTCAACTGACAATATCTCAACAACGCATGTATATTTTTAGCTAAAAAATTTTCAGATATCACTTGTTTAATATAGAATATGAATTATGTAAATATAAAATAATTTTGAAACATAAGGGTGACATAGTCTAAATGATTTAATATGAAATGATTTTAAACTTAGATATCTTATGTTGACTCTGTGCTCCAAAAAGATTGTCTAAAGTAGGTGCAAAAGATTTTTATCAGAAACAAATTGAGAAATTCTTTAAAAAAATAGAAAAAAGACTGCAAGTTTTGCTTGCAAATTGATGCAAGAAACCAACCAGTACTTATTAAAGACTGCAATCAAAACTGTCATTATTGTTTCTGCATAAATTTTATAAAAGTTTTTTTTTAAAATGTGCAAAAGAAGTTCAAAACCATTGCTGAGTGAGATACTTTGACAACCATAATGGCAACTATTAATGCCTCCAATTCAGTTTACCCCAATTTTGATTTTTGGAAGGTGATTTGAAGCCATCAAGAAACTTTTCTTTTTTACTTCACTATATTTCACAGGAACCTCTTTAAAATGTCGGGTTACATTGAATAAGATATTTTTATCATTTATATAAAGTATTTGTTAACCATTGACTATAGAATAAAAGTTTTAGTCTATTTAGATTACCATAAAAGTTGCTTTGAAAACTGTTGAGTTCTGTTTTTGATAAAAATATTTAAGTTTTTATTTACCTGTTTATCCACACAGCAATCAACATCTGCAATTGCTTAATGCACACTATAAAGAGATTATAAAACAAAAGTGGTTAGAAACTTGGTCCAAACAAATTTCTGGAAGATCATTAGTCTTTTTACCTTAGGAATAATTCAATCTTGTTTTTAACAGTGTATGGGAGCAGATGGTTATAAAATTAAGACTTGTATCTGCTTATTTTTAGCTTTACCTTTTTATAACACTGTGAAGGAATGAATGAATGTTTTCTGTGAAGGAACATACATATAAAAAAGGTACAACATTTAGAGATGGTAACAAATTTCAGCAAGGGTTTACAAACTTTTATTTACTAAAAATAATTGTTTGTTCTCGGAAGAAAATTTTAAATCCAAAATACACAAAATCTTATTTTGCACACATAACAAGCACTGAAAACATTAAAAAGCTGAAACAAAATCAACAAAATAAAAATTAAAGAATAGGAAATTTCTGGATTTTCTAATCCCATACATACAAGTGAATAAAAGAAAATGTATTTATTTTCCAGTCAAATAAAAGCTAGTGATTTGAAGAAACTAGAAAAATCAATATTAAGCAAGTGAATTGAAGAAAAAGAAATTTATCTTGAGTTTAAATTTGAGTTTAAATTTGAGTTTAAATTTTACAAATCAACTTGAGTTTAAAATCGTTATTCAATCTGATACAGTTAAGTATATCAAAAGCTAATTACAGCAACAACAAAAATAAATTTCATTGCTATGTGTGCAGTATGGCATAGGTGTATTCATCAGAGGACTGAATCTAATTTGTTTCTCATTATGGATGGTAATAAAAAGGTAAGAAAAATATTTCTCTTTATTATTTACTAGTACACAGTAAAAGCTTTTTTTTAAAATAGTATAAGCAGGGATTATCTTTTTCCAGATATTTCTGGAATTCAGGATATTTTTTCCAACTTTTAATTTTTCCGGATATTCAAAACATTTTTAATTCATGCAATTGAGGTATATGTTTTTGTAATATTAGTAGTTTAGTTTTTAAGCTTTTTCACTCATCACTTATAGAAAAATTTTGGAAAGTGTCAAAAAAAAATTAAAAACAACTTTGCTAAAAGCTAATTAAAAAAAAAAAAGTCATAACAAATTCTGGATTTTTCTGGATATTTTATTCAAACAATTTTCCGTATTTTTAAAATATGACTAGGATGATCTATGTATAAGGTTATCGCATTTGATAGATAACATTAAAGCAACAAAAGTGACGAAATTGCTTTGGTTTACCTTACATAATTTAAAAAAAAAAAAATTATTCTCAGAAATTATTTTGTTTGACTACAAATATAGAAACTTTCACTCAGTAATAATAAAGCTTATAAAAAGAAAAAAATGTTGAATATTTGCCATGATTATAACAAAATTATTGATTTTTTTTTTTTTTACTTTTCGTCATTGTTAATTTTTTAATTATGTGTGTAGCATTATCCTGGTTTTTTATAGCTAGCATTGTTTTACGGGTAATTAACAACTATATGAATCTTAACAATACCAGACATCTGATTAAGTGAGTACTTGATTTTTTTTTTTTTTTACTTTATACTTCTTGTTAGAATATATTATAAGTAAAAATATATATATATATATATATATATATATATATATATATATATATATATATATATATATATATATATATATATATATATATATATGACTATCATGGTATCAGTTACAAGTGGTGTGTCTCAGGGTTCTGTTTTGGGTCCAATGTTGTTTCTGCTATTCATAAAAGACTTCCCAGAAGTTGTGCTAAACACATTTAAAATGTATGCTGATGATAGCAAAATAATAGCCATAGAAGATTCCATTGATAAAAAGCAGAAATACAAACCGACCTTGACAACATTGTGAAATGGTGCAACAATTGGGGTATGGAACTAAACTGCAAAAAATGTAAGTTGATGAGATTCGGCAATCAGAAAGTTTTTCGAGGTATTGATAAAACATGCACAATGAATATAAATGGAATGATTTATGACCTCTCAAACAGTGTATTAGAAAGAGATCTAGGTGTCTTTGTACAACCGGATATGAGGTGGAAGCATCAAACGCAAGTACGTGTTAACAAAGCTTCAAAAATACTGGGGTTATTGAAAAATGCCTTTGAAAGTAGAGGTTGTTATATGTGGAAAATTTTGTATACTACTTATGTGCGACCTCATCTTGAATTTGCAGCTCCAGCGTGGAGTCCTCCGAATGTGGCCGAAATCTCAATGCTTGAAAGAGTTCAATGTAGGGCCACAAAAATACCATACTCAAACCGAATGCTAAGTTATAAGAAACGGCTAGTTAAAATGGATTTAATTAATTTAAATCTCAGAAGAAAACGAGGAGACCTTATTCATTTATATAAGATATTAAACAATCTAGAATTTGTCAATCTTAACGTCAAACCAGTCTATAAGTCAAGCATTAAATTAGACGGCCCATGTTCTTCCATTAGAGGTCTCAAACATAAAATTACAATGCAGTGTTTTACTCCTCGCGAAATAAATGACTTTCATGCATCGGTTAGCTCCAGAATCCATTTCTTCACAATCAGAGTTTGCCAAATTTGGAACAAACTTCCGGAAAAAGTTGAAGATTCCGAGAATTTGAATAGTTTTAAAGCAAGTTTAGACGAATGGCTTAAGAAAAATAAGAAAATATTAATTTAAAAAGAAAAAGAAAAAAAAAAAAAGTACTGGGCTGCTATTGCTGAACATTACAACGTCTCAGCTTGTGGATAAGATCCACGCTAGTTAGTAGAAAATCACTTAACAGAAATTTTTCATTTAACACTGTGTTTTATCAATAAAGACTCATCAGAAATCTGATTTTTAATGAGCCTTTATTGATGAAACAGTGTTAAATGAAAAATTTTTGTCGAGTGGTTTTCTACTAATTTATTATTGCTCTGTTCTTTTGGCAACATCGAGTACTCTGTTTTATAGAATACATATATATTATATATATATATATATATATATATATATATATATATATATATATATATATATATATATATATATATATATATATATATGATCCTTAAACGATTAGCGTATATCAGTCTAAAAGGTGTTTTACTTGGTCAGCATGTATCAGTTTGAAAGATGTTTTATAAATGTATGATTTTTTTATAAAATTATCATCAGGGTTATCTGAAATGATAGTTACTTGGTATACAATGTTGTTTGTCAACAGTAATTGAATAAAGGGAAACGGTTTTTTTTTTTAAAAAAAAGTAGATTCAATGATTAAAAATTAATTTTTCATTATTAATTGTACTTAAATGATTTCTTTTGATTTTCATTTCTCTAAAGCAGCAAGATGTTTGACATGCATAAGATGTTAAAAATTTTGATTAACATCAGTGTTATTTTGTTTTTGTTTAAAGAAAAAGTTTTTAGGATCAATCGTTTTGTTCTGCAATGAAGACATCAAGGAGATATGAAAAACATGTTGCCAAATGTTATCTAAATTTTGGTTTAATTATGGTCCTAAATTTGGTCATGCTTGGGTTACATAAATTTATAAAATGTATTTTTTCAAATCAGTATAATAAATTTAGATGGATTTTTCATAAATAAATCTTTATTCTACTATATATTTACAATTATTAATAACATAATGAATTTTATGCTATATACATAAGTTTTTATGCTAAAAACTTTGAATAAAATTGATAAAAGATTTATTTCAATTTTTTTTTTTTTTTTTTGTAAAGGTATTCTGGTCCAATTCGACTCATTAGAAGATTGCGTGAAGAGATTATAACAACAATGTAAGTGGTGTTTAAATAGTTTTGTTATTGTGATTTGATTGAACCATAGTTTTAGCAACTGATTTTTAAAATTTATAATTGTTTTCTGTTTAAATAAGTATGGCACACCATTAACATGCTTTTTTATTTATTTTGTTTTTTAAATTCATTTTCAGTCCTCATGATCCATCTACTAATAGATGCAATTTTTTGTTAGAGAAGATTTTATCTTTTAGGTATCATTAATTTTATTTAAAATCTATTTAAGTATTAGTTTTTACTTTATTATTGATTCAATTGTTTTTTCTAATTACTCAAGAGGTAGTAAAAATAAAACACTACAATAGAAAGGTTGGGGTTCTACAATTGTTACTACCACCTGCTCCCTTACTTTCATTGTTTACTTTATAAATAATAATGTTATTAATTAGCATATATAGATAAATAATATTCAGCTCTTATTTATTTTTAATTTTTTGAAATTCATATTTATTATCTTTAAATAATTAAATCGTTTTTACTTTTATCATAATTAAATTACTGCAGCCTTTCTATTTTGTTTCATAACATCAACAATCAATTGTAAATTGATGAGGAAACTAAGCCATCTCATCACTTTATAATTAACTCACCAATCAGTACTCAGCTACTTTTTAACTTTGGTTGTATATAGATGACCACAGCCCTAATAATATTTAACTCATCAATCAGTGTGCAGCTACTTTTTAACTTTGGTTGTATGACCAAACCCTTATAATATTTGCTATAATGACTACATAAATACATATCACATCTAGCATGCTAGATGTGATATGTATTTATGTAGGTACTTTTTAATAAATAATTTTGTATAAATATTTTAGGTATCCAAATGTAGTTACAAAAGAAAGTATAGAAGTGCTTCACTCTTACCTATCAGTGGATAATGTTGCTTCTCAAGGTTGTAACTTTTATTTTTATTTATTCATTTTATATATATACATATATTTATATATATATATATATATATATATATATATATATATATATATATATATATATATATATATATATATATATATATATATATATACATATATATTTCATAGACATTTATTTTTTATATTATTTACTACGTTACATAGTATGATTTTAATAATAACTTTATTTTATTGTAGCTGCTGTTTTAAAAAGTCTTGGTTATGATAATAAAAATGATTTTGAAGATCGTTTTGCAATTAAAGAAGATCGACCTAGTTTTCCTCTTGATATAGGTAATATAATAATTGATGACATTCACATTCACATAGGTAATATAATATTTATTAGATTGAAATCAGACCTCTTTTTTGTGAGTCAGACTGTATTGGCTTATACAAGGGTATTATCTTTTACATATATCTAATAATATCTTAAAATAATTCAATAAAAAAAACTTGAAGCAAAACTTTGCAACTTTTGAGCAATTTATGCTTGACACTATTTAAAATTGTTATTGAACTAAAACTCTTGATAAAAAATTTCAATTGTAGTTTTGATCTTGTAAGTTTCAATAAAAATCTCAAATGATGATAATGATGATGCTTATTTCTATTTAGGACGCACGTGGTCACAAAAAGAAAAATCTAATGCAACTATTTTTTTGGTAAAGTATTTAAAATTTTTAATTATTTTAAATCATTAAGTTTTTCTTTAGTAATTTTTTTTTTTTTTTAGTAGATGGACAAGTATTTATTTTTTGAATGTTTATAATTTTTTTATTTTTTTATTTGTTGAATCAATACTGTCTGAATAATTTGTTTACAAAATTTGTTTAACATATATTTGTTGAACGAATATTTGTTTAACAAATACATAGTTATTAAATGAATAATCTGATTTAGCTTCTTTGAATTGCTAATTTAATTGTTTAAATTTAATTGTTTAAATTTAATTGTTTGATTTTTGAATTGTTGTTAATTTAATAGCTTAAATTTTGAATTGGTTTATTTGTTTAACAAGTAAATATTTGTTGATCAAGTATGCTAGATTAATTATATTATAATTTGGTCAAAAATAAATAAAAAAATACCTGATGAAAACACATTGTTTTTTACAAAAATAGCTGTAGCTTTTGTTAGGTAAATTCTTTAATAAAAAGCAAACTTTGTTCTAGAAAAGTTGGTATTTTAAATTGTACATTTTCAAATAAAACTATTAACTTTATTAGTAGAAATGTCAGTGACGTTAAAGCTATCCTAATAATGCTTTTTTTTTATTATTTTCTTTTTTTCTTTTATTTTATCTTCTTCATATTCTGACACCATGATTTTCTTTTAAACATTACTATGTTGTTAATACTAAGATTAGTTCTTTGTTTGGGTAAAATTGTTCCAGCAGTTAAAAGTACTTGTTCCATGATAGTTAGTAATGCTGTAATGTGCAAAAAATTACTGCTGTAGACTTCTGAGATAAAGGAATTCATTTACACAGTTTGTCTTCCAATATTCTATATCTGTGGTGTTGCCTACTACTATTTTATTAACATATCATACCACCTCACACTTGTCATCAAAAAATAAACAGTTTTTTTCACTAAGTTTTATCGGATTTTTTCTATATAGCTTTTTTACTGTACAAGGTCTTGTCTTCATAGGGCATAGTCTTATCCTCAGATGGGGATCTAGATCTACTTCACATGAGATTTACTTGCTCTGGCATGTTGCTGACGCATTTTAAGTATGACTTGGGTAGTTGTATCTTTGAAATTGTTGAATTTTTTTTTCAATTAAAAACTTAGGTGCATTATAATCACAATCAGTAAAACATTTTTGAAGTCCTGCACGAAGATTAATTCCAAATTTCATTCATGAGACAAGCGAAAATAGATTTCAAATTCTATCTTATATCTATCTATTCTTTTCCTTAAATTTTTATGTTCACTAATTTTATTTTTGCCTTATTGTTGTCCTAAAATCTGAAAAATTTCATTGACCGGATAAAAATCTGAAACAATTTATTGATTGGATCAAGGCATTCGATAAAATCTTGTGATATTAACTTGATTATTATGATATTACAATGATATTAACTGTAATAAAAATGGGCATCTAAACTGCAGTTTTACTTGAAGTTTCTTGACTTCAATACCCTTCACATTAAAAGTAGTAAGGATGCAAATAGACTTTTTTCTGAAATTTGTCATTCGTGAACTTTTTACCCATTCGTTTAATGCGTCAATTATTTAACTTTGTTGCCACAGCCTTTAAAAGCCAATTTAAGCCAAAGTAAAACCTTCAGTAATCCTTCAGGCCCATCATTAAAATTAATAATAATTATTAATGTACACCCATTTCTATGGTTTCCCTGCCAACAGTTTTTGGTAAAATTTTGCAAATAATATAAAGTATAAAATGTTCTGTTAGGTTTAGGGGTTAGGATTAGGGTAAACAGTACAGGGTCAGGGTTAGGGTTAGGGTTAGGTTTAGGGGTTAGGATTAGGGTAAACAGTACTGTTACAACTTATCAGCTTGTTTATCTGTCATGTTTGTGATTTCAAATTTGATGAAAAATCATTTAGACTGCTATGCCTTAAGCAGTCTAAATGATATTTAGACTGCTAAAGTCATAGCAGATACTACCTTAGTAAATGTTCAGAGTAAAATAAGGCATATATTAAATAATAAAGAACAAACTTCTGTTTATGGTAACTAGGAACGGTGCTATGGGCTTCGATGCTAATAAGAGTGTTTTAAGGTGTAAAGTGGACCAAGAAATATTTTTTATTGTTTCTAATTTTATTTGAGCAGCTGTGGCGCGGTGGTAGCGCATTTGCCTCGGAAATTTAAGATCCGTAAAAACCCCACTTCAGGGCAAGTTTTGCGACATCTGTTGGGAAAGAGGTATGAATTTCCTATTAAATTCTCTTCCGCGGTGCTCTGTGATAAGACCGTAAGGACTTCTTGGGACACCTCAAAGAATTAAAAAATAATTTTATGAAAATAGACATCAAAGGGTGAAGTTTCACTATTAAAAAAATTCTCAACATTTTTTTTCTCGATCATTATTTGCATCCCTACCACCTTAATGGCCTGGCACTTGTAATATTAAAAATGCTTTTACTGATTCTCAGAGTTTTTGCCTTTCTCGATCTTTTACTCAGATAGGTAACTTGGAGTCTCGTTTTCCAGACAACCCTAATCACTTCTTTATACTTCTTGTTCTCCTTTAGGTGGTTCAGATTATTCTCTTATGATCTCATTCAAATTTACAATTGTACTTCTTTATCAGATTGACCTTATCATAACACTGCTACCCTTCCACTGCTACCCTGACCCTAACCCTAACCCTTCCACTGCTACCCTGACCCTAACCCTAACCCATAACCCAAAACACTGCTACCCAAAACCTTACAAGTAGTTATTTATTAAAATTCTATTTTTTAGGCTATGAAGTATCTGGATCATTTTGATGCTTCTCATTGTGTTCCTCTTCCTTCACAATATTTTTTACTGCCATGGCAACATAAGCTTATTTGAAAAATGTAAATACTATTTATATTTCTATCAAAGTATTGAAATACTTTTAGTTTTTTAATTAATAACAATTATAATTCACTTTGTAATTAATTGAATTAACGACAGTAATACTTTTTTTTTAAAAAAAAAGAACAATCGTTTAGTTTTTAACTGTTCATTAGATTTTTTTTTTTTTTTAATTGATTTTTAACTTTTGAAAGACGTTTACGATTTTAATTTCTCGTATTTTTATTTTATTAACTTTAATAAAATTCTCATGGTTTTATCCTTCTGATTATACTCGAAGATTAAAGGTGCTTAGAAATTTTCACGCAGAAAAGTATTACTGATTAGATTTGTGTAATTTTTATTAAATTGTTGTTTTCCAATAAAAAAATATTTGAAAAAACGTTTTTGCATACTAAGATTAGTTGCGAGATCACATAATGTTACGTAATGTCTTCTTAAATTTTAGGAGTTTTACAAAAAATTTCTGAAACACGTAATTAAAATTAAAAAAAAAAATTTAATATAAATTAAAGAGTTATACATTGAAGATAAATCAATTCAATCTATTAGTTTTCTACTAAAATGTCTTAAATTTAAATTAACAGTTTACCTTATTATATTAACTTTCTGGAGACATCTTTAACTCGGCATAGAGTTTTGAAAACAAACCTCTTGCTTATATCTTCCGTCTACCTATAATTCTCCTTTTTTATCCACATTTTCCCTTTTTTTTTTTGAATTGGGACGCTATTGATGCATAACTCTTTAGTTTTTATATTCTTGCCACTGATTTGATATTTGTGGAATTAGTTTATTTTTTTATTTTTATTATTTAAAATTGGTATTTAGAACATTTTGTTGCAGGTTTTAAAAATGACATATTTAAGAAGATATCTAGGCTTGTCTACTTTTTCTGGGAAAATAAAATCCTGTATGTATTATAGTTATGAAAGTAAATCAAGGTTAAAAACAGTTGACGAGTTATTTGAACAACTTGTAAACGGAAATCGGGCTTCGCTTGCCACTACAATAACTTTAATTGAATCTACAAGAGATAATCATAAACATCATGCAGATAATCTGCTTTCTAAAGCACTTTCGCATCTTAAAAAGCTCCAAGAAAGTGGCAAGTCAACTTTTAGGATAGGGCTTACAGGAGCACCTGGAGCTGGCAAAAGCTCTTTAATTGAGAAATTTGGAAAAAAACTTACGTCTGAAGGTCATAAAGTAGCCGTTCTTGCAATTGATCCATCGTCTGTGAAAACCGGTGGATCTTTACTAGGTGATCGTACTAGAATGATTACACTTTCCCATGATCCAAATGCTTATATTCGCCCGTCTCCGACCGCAGGAACTCTTGGTGGGGTAGCAAGAAAAACCAACGAAGCAATTATACTATGCGAAGCTGCAGGATACGATATTATACTTGTAGAAACTGTTGGTATAGGTCAATCAGAAGTTGCTGTAGGTGATATGGTTGATATGTTTGTACTAGTCATTCCACCAGCTTCCGGTGATGAACTACAAGGTATTAAAAAAGGAATTGTAGAAATGGTTGACTTAGTATTAGTTAACAAAGCCGACGGCGATTTGTTACCTGCAGCAAGAAGGATTCAAAGCGAATATACAAGCGCTCTTAAGTTATTAAGCAGACAAAGCGATATTTGGCATCCAAAAGTGCATTCTGTTTCATCTTTACTTGACGAAGGTTTTGGTATAGTTTGGGCCGAAATGACAGAATTCAAAAATATAATGCTACAAAAGAACTTATTTTATTTTAAACGCAAACAACAATACAAAGCTTGGATGTGGAGAATTTTGAGAGAGAATATTTTTGCTTCATTTACAGAAAATGAAAAGGTCATCGAACAAATTAAAAAACATGAACAGTATGTGGAGGAAGAGCTAATGACACCAAACATGGCTGCAAATAGTGTAATAAATTTTTTTAAAAATGAAAAGGGATTGAAGTAATATATGTGTATATATTTGTGTGTATGTGTAAATATATATATACATATATATATATATATATATATATATATATATATATATATATATATATATATATATATATATATATATATATATATATATATATATAATTGATTACTTTTAAATTATTTTTACTGTTGCATTTTGCGTTATTTGTATTATAGCTGTATAATGCATTCGAATAATTTTCATTTTTTTTTTACTTTTTGATTCTTAATCTTAGTTAAACACAAAAAAGTTTTTTGAATTTATTAATAATAAAAAGTCATAGAAAGTTATAGAAATAACCTTGCTTTGATTATTATCTGATCTTGTTTTTGATAATAAATAAAGCTTTTTAACATTTAAAAATAAAGCATTCTAACCTAATAAGAGTGGAAATAATAGCTTTTCAAAGTGAGGTGCTTAGCCATGATGCTGTGATAAGGTTTTTGTCATTTATTTGCCTGTGTTAGGTATTTCGAGCAGCCGCGGTGCAGTGGTAGCGCACTTGCCTCAGAAACGTTAGATCCGTTGTTCAAACCCCACCTCCGGGCAAGTTTTGCGACATCGGTTGGGAAGGAGGCGTGAACTTCCTATTAAATCTTCCGCGGTGTTCTGTGATAAGACCCTAAGGACTTATCACGGAGCACCTTGGTAAAGTAAACAATTACGTAATAATGTTACAGGTTGGCCACACCTCCTAAAATGTCCTAGAGTGAAATGCAAGAAGCGAACTTGAGTCAAGCTCGACTTGAACTTTACAATGCTACCAATTGCGACAGAGTATGTGTTTTCCCCTCAAAAAATACTCTGCCGCTATTGGTTACAAAGTAAAGTTCAAGTCGAACTTGACTCATGTTTGCTTCTTGCATTCCACCCTTAATATTTGAAAGACATCCTAAAAAACCTAATTTCTCCTAAAGAATAAGTGATTTTCTCAAATATTCCTAAGTTCTCCTAATTTATTTGTCCTGAGTATAATGCATAAACTATTATCAGCCAATCAACAATAAAGTTAATGAAATAAATCAGACTAGGAGTTAGTGTTATTATTTACTGACAGAAAATAATTTACTCAAATATTTGATTTAAAATTTTTGTAATATTTTAATAGTTTAAATTTATTTTATTATAATAAAAGAATCGTAGAGGAAACATTACTTCTCGAAAATTTAGATATGGTCTCAAAGTTTCTTTTAGTTCGGACCGTAGAGAAAACTTCACTTTTTAATAATTTTTTTCCTGCTTTATACATCGTTTTTACATCACGACTTACATCATTGTTATATTACCCACAGCTAATTTTTAAACCACTCATTTGGCTTAAAATTATCTGGTTTTATTTCAATATTTAGTTAGTCTTATTGCAATATTTATTAATATATTATTTATCTCCTGATTTTCGTATTATTACTGTTTGTTGCATTTATTACTCAGCTTTGTTTTAATTTTTACATGCACATTTTTCATCTTTAATATTATTCAGAGAATATTTTTATATCCTTCATTAAATGTTTACATATATGCCGCTTACATTTTAAAGTTTTTTCAATTTTTGTTATGATTTTGGGTTTCGCGGGTTGCTCATTTTCCTACACTTTTGAATGGTTGTCATATTTCGAATGAGGTATCTATGACAGCGTTAGAGTTTATTTAAGGCTATTGTTTTGTTGATTTAAAAAAAAAAAAATTTAATGAGGTATACTGCTTTCTGATTGATTATCTTAGGCTTGTTTATGCTAATAATACCTATTTGGTTTTATTTCTTAAAATAAATTTATGGTTTTTTTTATGTTTCTATTATTAGAATTTTAATTTATTTTGTTTTCATGTTTTCTTTTGGTGGTATCGTAAGTTTTTTATTTAGTTATTTTTATTTTTGTTTGTTCAGTAAATCTACACTTTTTATATTATATCATCAAAAAAATATTGGTGCTTTACAAATTTGGGGTTGGTTGGGTTTTGGCTAATTGTAGTGAGTCCTTTTTTATAATAAGTGGCGATGACGTTTGTCTGACGGGATAAACTAGTTATAAATGCCGATCCTCATCGAAACGCCAGTAATAATATACGCGACTCTGAGGAGATTTTTATTACTTAACCACTATACAAATTATGTTTACACATTAGCATTAATAATTTTTTTCCATTATTAAATGCCTTTCATTGTTGTTAGCATATCTTTTATTTTGTGATCGGTTTTTTGTTTTATAAGTTTTTTTCTAGTGATGTATATCTTTTATATTAATGTTTATAAAACAATTTTTTTTTTTTTATTATTTATTTTTATTGTTATTATTGTTGTGGGTGTATAGCCTGTCTTATTTATTTTTAAATATTCCTCTATTAATCTTTATTTTTGTCTTGACAACTGTCAAAATATGCTTTGTCTAATAAATAATTCTCCTTTATTCTAATGTACTTCATTTCTTCCCTCAGGCGTTCACTGCTCGTGTGTGACCATTCGGCGAGTTTTATATGCCAAAGTTCTTATTTTTGCCTAAGTTCTGAAGATCAAAATTATTTTTTTAAAAACTTTATTTTAATTAAGTTGACCTTAAATAATTTTGTACGTTCAGAATAGAAAATGTCAGTAAAATATAAAGCTAAATTTTAAAAGCGGTTAAAAGACAATAAATATAAAAATTTTTATTTGATTAAGTATTATGTTAGGTATGTTTGATGATTTTTTATTTCCAGACATCTTTCTTTTAACTAAATGCTAAATTTCTTTTAACCAAATGCTAAATTTATAAAATAAATTATTCTGCATTGTTAAACTTTTACAAAATATTTTCAGAATTTTTTAAATATAACCTAGACGATGCTGTATGTTTAAAATTTTTATATGTTGCAGATCTGCAGCCGTATTCTCATCTCTCCGTTAAGCTTAACGGAACTTTTGTCTGAAATTTTATTACAATATATCTAAGTAAAGAAATGACAAAAATTTTATTTAAATTTTTTAAATAAAACTAATACTAAAATAAAACATTTATTTTTAAAAATTTATATTTTAAAAGAACTTTTTTATTAATATCTATAAAAAGAAATTTTTTACTAACACTCCGCTAAGGTTAACGAAGAGATAAGAATACGGCCCCAGGATACAAACACATTAAAAAAGCATGTCAATAAAAAAAACATGTATTTTTGTTATATGTTATATGTACTATGTGTTTGAAGGTTATGTCTGTTGCAGATCTAGATACAAACACATTGAAAATACATGTTAATGAATAAAAATACAAACAATAAATGCCTGTGAGTAATAAAAGAAATACAAGCAGTCATTAAGCCGCCAGTTGAGCAAAAGGTATATACTGTGTATACTTAAGTTATATTTTTTTAACGGTATAAATTTAACATGGTAAATTTAACATGTTAATATGGGTAATATTTAACAGCTTTTGTTTTGAAAATTTTTTATAACATGCTTCTGCCTATTCACAAAATGTAGTTTTTTCGCATATTCCTTTTATTAATTTATTTATCTATGTATGAATTTATTTAATATATTATGAAAAAATGTTATTAATTCTTTTTTAACTGTTTACTATAAAAAGTAATGTGTTCTGTTATTTTTTCTAACTTAACTCTTCTAACACTGCCATAATGGGCAAAAAAAGTTTTTATTACCAGGTGCTTAAGTTTTTATACTTTCAAAGAATACTTTTTTAAAAAAATGCAAAAATATGCATCAAAGGACTAGACCGAGCTGTCTAAGTGAAATAAGGAAAAATTTTACCTAATAATAAAAGGGGCGTTTATGATAATTCTAAAAATAATTCATTAGTAATTAAATATTCTTTATTGGATGGATGTGATAAGAATTGATGATTGGATGGATGTGATAAGAATTATACTCAACTGACTGAAACTTTGTTTCAGGTAATTCTATTGCTTCAAGATATATATATATATATATATATATATATATATATATATATATATATATATATATATATATATATATATATATATATATATATATATATATATATATATATATATATATATATATATGTATATATATATACATATATATATATATATTTATATATATATATATATATATATATATATATATATATATATATATATATATATATATATATATATATATATATATATATATATATATGTATATATATATACATATATATATATATATTTATATATATATATATATATATATATATATATATATATATATATATATATATATATATATATATATATATATATATTAAGTCATAGGCGCCCGCAGAAAATTTTCTAAGGGGGGGGGCAAAACATTTTTTGTTATTGCTTTTTTTCCTGTTATCTATTATGTAAAAATCAAGATATGTAAGATATAAAATAAAGAGAAGAAAAAAATTATATGTCTGTGACAAAAAGAAGACAATTTAAACTTGTCAGCACCGTTTTTGTGTATAAAATATTCACATTTTTTTTATTGATCTTTATTAAATGTAAGGAATTAAACAGACATTGGCTTTTTTCCGAAACTGTAACGAAGTATCACTAAAAGATACTTTTTACAGAAAAATTTAGTAATAAACTTTATGGCATAAAGAACGTTACAAACAAGAAAATTTTTTTCTATATTTAGAAAATACAGGGGGGGCAAGTACACCCTCTTGCCCCCCCTCCCCCTCCTTCCTCTCCCTTGCGGGCGCCCATGTACTAAGTATACTATTCCATAGAAATGGTCCGCGAAATTTAATAAAAAATTTTCCAAAATTAGTTTGAGAAAATGGTTGTCGAGTTATGTTATCGTTCCTTAAAAAATTGAACTTTTTAATAATGAAGAAATTACATTTTTAAACTTATTAAAAAATGTATGATAGGGGAAAACCAACCTTGAATTTGTTGTAACTCAAACAAGATTTAATATAACTCCAGTTAATATGGTGGTCATCATCATTAATAAAAACACCCAAATCATCTAAAAGTTTTCTAATTAACTTAGGTATAAGACATAGATCTAGGAATATGTGTAGCCGTAATGAAATTCTTTATCAATATTACATTTGAGAGTATAAGACAATATGTCGAAAAAACATTTAAAAATTTATATTTCCTTATTTTGATTTTCTTATTTTAATATATACTTACGCTTAAAATAATTTATATTTCGGCATAAAATAACTTATTATTATTATATTATATTTTCTCTTTATCACCCAGTATAAAATTACAGGTAAAATAATATTTAAATAGTCAAACAATAAATTAAAAATCAGCTAAAACAACACGGCTCTTGTAGTTGTTAGCAATAAATGTTTATAAACAGCTGGTTTGTTGTCCACATATTATTGGGACAGAGTTCTAGGAACATTCTCCTCCATCAAGATTTTAAACGCCTCTCTCTTTTCTTTCAAATTCCAAAACTGGAACGTTTCTTTCAATATTAGCATAATATTAGTTTGAAGCTCTACGATGGGTTGCGTCAA